CATTTTATTTTGTAAAGATCTTCGTTGATTACGGTTATTATAATTATTAAAATAACATAATTATTAACATATATATACATGTTTGATTATTTTTAAAATAATAATTATTTTCCTAAAAAAATTATATACTTTTTTAGAAAATTAATTTAATAATTTATGTTATATTTCAAATAATCACTTATTGAAATTGCAACTCATTATTTAAGGAAATGATATAAGCCATGAAAAATATTTTTAAAATACCTTAATTACGGAAATCATGTGAATTTAGTTGATTTACCTAAATATGAGAATTTTGGTTGCAATATCAATAATGTGATTTTGTAAAAATCTTCCAACTAATTTTTGTAATTAATTATTTAATAAATATTTTATATTTTTTCGGGTAATGCATTTTTAATATACCTTAGTTACGCAAATTGTGTAAATCCAAATAATTTATTCAATCTACAAATAATTACTAGATTTATGAAAATATCAACTAAAATAATCAATTATGCGATTTGCAAAAACTATTTTGAAAAAATTGTATTAATGACAGTTTTTATTTAAATATTATTTTATAGTTGTTATTTATTTTTTGTGTATTTAATTCCTCAAATTGTGGATAATTAAGGAAATAGTTAGACCATAAAAATTTACATTTTTAAGATACCCTTATTACACAGTCGAGTAAATTTGGTTGATTTATTCAATCATAATTTTTTTATAAAATTATTCCAAAATAATTGTATTAATGCCAGCTTCTATTTAATTATTTTTTAGAAACTGATTATTTGGTCCTTTTTATCTTTATCTATAAAAATTGCGGGCCTCGATTTTGTTTTGTACGCTGGGCTATTAATTTTGTGGTAAAACTGAATATTATTTTGTATTTTATCGATAGAGTATGAAATCGAATTATTTGGTATACTATATATTGATCCAATATACCCTCTTACGGTAAAAAATTGTATCTCAATACTCTTTTATATTGCTAAGCATTTTACTCGATACTAATGAGAGAAAAATCTGGAGAATAGTACAGTTTGTAAATGTGCGTGGAACATATCAAATTATTTTGTATATATATAAAATAATTTCGTATATATAAGTTTGTATTTACCTGAATCACGTTATAGGCAAATTGAATTTCTGAACAAAAATTTTAAAATGACACATATTTCAAAACGAATGTAATGAAATTTGTTATTAGTTACTTGCACCGTACGGGTCGTGTATTAATTTTAGATAGGCATATTTAATGTAATTGTACACAATTTATATTTCATATAACATTTTCAACAAATTAGTATAGGTAAGTTGTATTACATATTGATTTCATACTTTTAATTTATAGATATTATTTAATGCGCATTTTTAATTTATAAATATTAAAGAATATCTTTACCCGTGCATCGCACGGGATTCGTACTAGTGTGGATGAACCACATCTTATAAAATCAAGGTGATGTGATTCTTAAAATTTAGCATATTCGCATAATAATTTGCCATAATATATTGATGATAATTCGACAAATTGATATATTCCTCTAGAAAATTATAATGATCTTTGAACAAACATTGGTTAATAAAATTTAAAATTAGTAATTTAATTCTACATATTAATTAACAATTTTGAACGATAAGGTAACTGACAACAAATTTAAAAAAATGTGAGATATATACAATACATATATATATATATATATTATATACATGAAATAGATAAAAAAGTTTATTTGTGTATCCAAAATTAGATTCTAAATTTAAAGATCAAATAAGTAGTTATTCATAACTTATGCTAATATTAACTTGGATGCAAATAAATTATTCAATTATTTATAGTTTAATAAATTATTCAATTACTTAAATTTTTTGATTTGGACAGGTCATACGAAAATAAATTCATTTTAGTTAATGAAACAATAGAAGTTTTATAATTATACATATTATTCACATACATTTTTAAATATATGATAAAATTTTACCAAAATATTTATTTTATTGAATCACATTGTAGTCAAATAGAAATTATGAATAATTTTTTTTTAAAATAACATTATTTTGAAATGAATATAATATAATTTATTATTAGTTACGTGCATTGTATGGGTTGTGTACTAATTTTAAATATACATATTTGTGTAATTTTGTACAATTCAAATTTCGTATAACATTTTTAAAAATTAATATGGTAAAGTGTATTACATATTGATTCAATATTCTTAATTTATAAATATTATTTAATGCATATTTTTTATTTGTAAATACTAATTAATATTTATTACCCGTGCATCACACGGGATTCGTACTAGTTATTTTGGAATTAAAATTAAACTAAAATCTATCCAAGCAAAACAATGAAGCATGAAATTCTGACACCAAGGATCCCGAAGCATGCGAGTCTGCCACTTAGACTCAGCACATTCGGGAATTATATATAGGGTGGATAATTATAGTGGAGGTAACATGTGACATAATTTATCGTATATCAGTTGTACACAATATAAAATTATCTTATATAAAGTAACATAAAAAAAAAAATATATGTATGAAATATTAAAATCACCTAAAATATTATATAACTTATTTAAAGTATCTAAAATTTAACATATCACTATTGAAAGATGTGAAGTCACTTAAAATTTGTTTAAACTGTTTTATAAAGAAAGATGTCTAAAATTGTTTAACAAAATCTTGCGTACAACCTTCAACTTATAGCGAGCTAAGTTCCCTTAATCAATGTCTCGTACTTGGCCTCATTATTTGAAGCTTTAAATCCCAGGTGTACTGAGAACTCGAGTTGCTCCCCTCTGGATTAATAAGAACGACACCTAGTCCTGATCCTTTTGCAGTTGGTGGTCCATCAACGTAAGCCAATCATTTCTTCGCCTCCATTAAGGTACACTTCTGAATGAAATCAGTCAATGCTTGTGCCTTAATAGCCTGCCTCAGCTCATTCTTAATAACATATTCGCTCATATCCACATCCCATTTCACGAGTCAACCTGAGACAGTGGGTTGACCAATGGTCTCTTCTAGCTGGAAGTTTGTCCGAACGACCACCTTATGATTGAGAAAATAGGGCCTCAGCTTTCTTGCGGTGACGACTAGCGTGGGTGCAACCTTTTCCATATCCGAATATCTACCTTCAAGTCCCTGAAACACCTTGCTCGTGCAATAAATAGGTTGCTGAGAACCTCCCACTTCTCGCAGCAGAATCGAGCTCAACTTCGTTAGTCCTACTGAGATGTACAACACCAGATAGTCATTTGGTTCTGACTTGGTTAGTAATGGAAACTTAGCTAAAAAAGTCTTTTGCTTGTCCAAGCCAACATGTGCCTCTATACATCTTTCAGTCACTACATATGCCAGAAATTCTCTTATTTTTAGCCCATAGGCACATTTAGCCGAGTTCATTTCATCCTGAACTTCCTCAAAGTCTTGTATGTCTTGCATAGGTCGGCTAGGTGTGTTATCGCCTTCTTGCTTTTCACCAGCTTATCGTCCACATTTATTTCATATTGCGGCCTATCTGTATTTGAAACATTCTATCCATTAATATTTGGTAGGTCGCTCCAGCGTTTTTAAGTCCAACAATTTCTCCAAAACGGATTATTTTAACCGTAAATGATGTTATGCAAAAAAAGTTCATGCCTTCCCCACTTTTATATCTTTAATATTATTATCTAAGGGGGCGCATTCTTTTGAGATTTCTAAAGACTTTTTAAGACTTGAGAAATTCTGGTGTATATAATTTAGACTTTTTAAGACCTTTAAAAGTCTCGAGATATTCATTTAAAATCTTAAAAAGTATTACAATATCTTGAGTTATTTAACTTATTTCATACTGTGATTTCTTAAAAGATTTGTAAGGACTTCAAAAGAAAAAAAAAAAAAAGAAACATATACAAAATATTATTTTAAATCTCAACTCAAAACATAAAATTTCATAAGATTCTCAAAAATATGAAAACCTTAAAAAGTTTTAAATTTCAAAAAGTCTCAAAATATCACTTGACATTCCAAACAATAAACTCCTCATCTATATCTATCTATATAATTGCTACCAAAGCAATTAATAAAATCTCATAAATAAAACCTAATAAATTTTACCCACATGTCACTTTCCTAATATAATAACCATTACATCTATTATTATTATTATTATTATTATTATTATTATTATTATTATTATTATTATTATTAATTCATTAATTCACCATATCCCTTTAATAATAAAATATTTCTTTGGACTTTTTTGGGTTAATTAAGACGAAAACCTTATATTTTATATTAATTGAGTAATAATTATATTTTTTATTGTATCATATTAATGTTATTATTAAAATTATAATTATATTTTTATATTAAATGATATATAAAAGTTACATAAACATAAAAAATTATATTGTAATTTTTTTTCAAGTTATTTATTCTAGATTCAATATTATAATTTTTATTTGATTAAGCGATTGTTTTTTAAATAATTTACTTTCTATTAATTCATAGTAAAATTCTTTAAAATTACATAAGCAATTGTTATAATAAATTTAATATTGTTTAGCTAATTAATTGTTCTTGATCCCTCAAAATTATAAATATTATGTTATTTATCATTTTTATGCAATCAATATAGTGATTCATATGCAATTAAATGGTTATGTACTATTTATTTTAATCAATGATCGAACTTAAACACATAATACCTATATCTAACTTATAATTTTAATATTATATGCATAAATATTATTTATAATACTCTATGTTTAAAATATAATATCATTATGTAACTTATAATTTTAAAATTATATGCATACAAATAATTTATAATATTTTATTTACATTTGTGCAAATGCACATGGTCGAATACTAGTTAATAATATACTGTGAAGGCAAATTCTAATTTGAGTCTATGTATTTTGCCGACTTATTGGGTTTAGTGGTTCGGGCTAGACGGTGGTTTAGTCGGGGCTAGTGGTGGCTGAAATTCGGTGGGTGGTTTTTCGGGTTTGTGGATGCTTGGTGCTTGGTTGGTCGGGCCGAAGGATTCAGTCGGTGCGAGGGGAGTAGGTGGTCGACCTCCGGTTCAGCTCCAGGGGTGTTTGTCTGGGAAAATATTTCAGATGTCTAACGCGATTCCAGCTAGTTGTGGCTACACTAGAGTTTTTGGAGCAGTGCTCGAGTAGGAGTCCTATCTGAATGGGCGATTGTCTCTGGCCGGCAGGCCGTGGTGTGTTGCGGTTTGTTCTATCGTGGAGAGGAGGGTGTCACTCTATTTATTTGTTGTAGAGTAGTGTTGATGTTTTTTTTTGTTTTTTTTTTTT